TTCTCTTCCTCAATGAAATCATGTCTATTTCACTGCCCACGTATAGGTATATATGATTTTTCTTCTAACTTCCAAACATTTTGTGTACGGATATGTTCTGTCTCATTAAATTATTTCCACGTTGTCCAGGTGAAAATGTTGATGGTGCAATTGCATGCATTTATATATAAATATATTTAAAATCTGTTTACGCAGTTCTTGATTCCTAATAATAATAATAACAATATACGAACGCAATGTGCCGTAAAACATGTTCCTATCGATTTCGACGGTTCCCATAGTAACGAAGTAATTCGCATTTTCACTGGGATTATTATCTGGTGCTTACAGCAGCAGCACTATACATATAGGTACACACGGGTTCTCTCAACAACACATACTCGAGTCCAACCGACCGTGTGTGTTTTAATCGACTTATACCTGTATGCACACAGACACACACACGCACGCGTGGATACGCTACGTCACTGACACTATTATCTATTTATATTATACTAAAATGTATAACTTAATTTTTTTGTGTAAATACAATGAAAGTACCCAATAATTATTACCTAAAACCAATGATTTATATTAAAAAATCTACTATCGAGCAATTGTAGTAATATATTTATATCATGATGGTTTTAAAACAGGGGACGTTTACCAGTAGATCGCGATCAACTGGTCGATCTTTCTAGGAAAACAGGTCGATCACGTAATAAATAATCGGATAGTGGGAATATTAGATTATTATTATTATGAAAGAACAATAAATATGTTAATTATTCTTAGGCGCGTAGACCTTTTTTTTTTTTTTGCTCATCAAATAAATTTCTTCCTAAAGACCTAAATTCTCCAGAATTTCAATCGCTAGGGACTTGAAATTTCAAATATAGCTCACTTTTTTGAAAAGGTTGATGACCTCTGTTCTAAAATATTTTTGTAATATTAAGAATATGTGTAATATGTAAAAAGAAAATTTATTTTTTAAAATAAAACTAGAAACACCTTATCCCACTGTCATTAAATAAATACATTTTAGAAACAAATTGAAAAAATTAGAAATATCATTATAATAATAAACGACCATAACAAATTCCACTTAAGAATTCATTTTAATAAATATATATAAAAATAAATAAATAATTTAAACATAGAAATAAATAGATAAATACTTTGCCTGGAGTATAATTATATTTGTAAAGTACGACTGGTTTCAAATTAAAAATTAATTCATCGTCGGTTATATATAAATTCAATAAAATCGCGACTCATTTAATATATATAATAGATGAAATATTATGTCCAGTATTATAGAATGAATTCTTATAGATATTTTTATATAAATTAGTTTCTATAAATATTGATAAATAAAAATATACGCCATAAGAATAAAGTTGTTAAAATATTAAAAAAAAAACTCGTTTCTAAGATAATAATAAATATACAAAATTAAATTATCTTTAGTTAAAATGTGTTCCGTAGTAAATATTACCAACATCTAAATTGGTGAACACATGTGGTGATTAACTCACTATATTTTGCGTCGGAATAATAGAAATACAGTATCACACATTTACAATACCACAAGCCAGTGAGAATGCTTAGTGAGCCAGCACCATAGTGTAAAATATGTAAAGCCATTATAAAATAATAATATTCGTTAGCTTAAAATATTGTTATAACACATTGTACGGAAATAATGGAATTCAAAAACGTTAATTTCGTAGTGATTATCCCAGTTTTCAGGGTAACGAATAAATTACATCATTCTTAAAAACAATTGAAAGCACACCAGTACAGCAATGTCATATTGTGTAACTACATAATATTACTCAACTCATATCACTCTATTACTTATGGAATGTAAGTGCGAAAAATAATAATCACAGCATATTTATTTAATTTTTAAATATAAAACACATTATAAACTGCATAGTGAGTAATGACAAATTATTATACTACATAAAAAGGCAAATCAAAATCAAAAACTAACCTGATTATTACAGGTTTAAGTATAAATATAAATAGTATACAAAGTAAATAAAAATTTTAATAATTTTAAAGATACAATAAATTTATAAAACCATATAACATTATAGTTTAGATATGGCTTTATGTATTATATTTGTTTCAGATCGTCAATTTAAAAGTTTTAAATATTATGTCCAATATTAAATTTCCATTAATTGAACAACGTATTTCTGTCTAACGTACATAGCTATCATTACCCAAATCAATGACCAATATGTTTAAACAGTTTTAGCATTAATTAAAATACTATTCAGAATAAGAGTATATAATAGTTGAATTCATTAAATCGGTATATTTTTTAATTATTAATTTGACTAAGAAATAATGAAGAAATTTAAAATTAGTTATTTGCTGACATCAAAGATTTTCTTATGTCCTACGTTTATATATTTACTGCAAATATTTAATTGTTTATAATTATAATGGTAAACGTAAGACATAAAAATATCGATAAAAATTCATTATTTTTTAGTCAAATTAATATTTAAAAAAATCATAAAAAATATAATATTTTTAAACAATTAAATAGTTGCAGTGAGTATATAAATACTCAGTGGACAATTGCTTAGTAATATATATATATATATTTGTAAATCAAATCACGTATCACCGATCATAATGAACCTCAGTGAATAAATTGGTCATTGGTTCTATATTATTAGGATCAAATATATTTGAAAATGTATGTTATACTTATTCACAAATACCTTTGATTTTTGTTAACAATCTTAAATCATCTCTATTTAGTATTATAACTAATTATTATACCTATGTGTTGGTATGTAAATATTTTAATACTAATTTTAATTTAGTAAAAAATTTAGAGGTTAAAGACCAAGGAGTAAAACTTTTAACTTTGTTCTTTTTACTTTGTATATTTATTTATTAATTACGAAAAGGGTTGAGTTTGTTAAGAAATTATGTTTCTACCTGGTAATTAATCATTTATACTTAATGGAACTTTTTGTACATGACATGGTTATAAATATAACAATAATTTGTATTTAAAATTATTTTCAAACATTATAAATTAATTATACTTTATTGAAAATCTACAAGTATTTGTTATGAAATTATTATTGCTTATAACTACCTAGAACTTTTTTGAAAAAAACTTATATGTTATGATTGATTATATAATTTAATTTACAATTTTCTTATAATTCGAAGTAAAACCTAAAGAAAAGCATATATTGCGAATGACAGAATCCTTAAATGTTCAATTATAATTTCTTAATAATGTAGGCTATTAAATAATGTTATACTATACTTTATTGTAATCATAAAAAAATATTTAAAAAAGTAATTCAAACGAATTGATAAAAGTTAGTGTGACAATGAAATATTTTTCATAATAACATTTTTGAAATCGTATTTCATGGAAAAAAAACTCTAAAGAGATATCAATTTCAAAATGTACATGATATAAACAACAATAACTTCAACTTTTATATTATAACAATGTCAAGTAGAATGTATTCATATGATTCAGAGTATAAAAAAATAAATTATATAGTATACCTTCAAGATCAAAAGTAAAAGCATTTTATGCGATAATGGATACATGTTTGCATAGGAAATAAAAAATATGACTATTTTTCTTCCATCTTAGACGAATATGCGTGCATAAGAAAAATAACAAAAGGAAGACCATATAAATAAGATCCTATCCGAAAGCTTGTATAGCTATAAAAATAAAGTGGTGATTTATTATTGTGAACGTATTCGCAAGAAATAATATTGAATATCGAACGCACCATATATTTGAAAGCACGCAATGGGTAGTTAAAAGCCACAAACCTGTATAGACAAGGATACTAATGACGTCAAACGCAACTATTTATTTGAAGTCCACTTCACGTTAAAAGTAAAGTTGTTTTGAAAATATAAATTATCTAATCATCGGGGGTGTATCGTATACTATAAAAATATAGAAAAAAAATTCTATAAAGCCATAGCTATAAACTATTGTTTTTATTATACTTGTACAGGTCATCTTGCTATCAAAAAAAAATATTGTTTCAAAGGGTGATGAATTGATGGTAAAACAATATATTACAAAATGTAATTGGGAATATGTTTTTTTTTAATCAATAACTATTTGGTATAAGAAAAAATTACTGTTGGTATGCTATAACATTATACCATGGAAAAATGTCATTGAAAGGTATAATGTATTATTTAAAGAACTGTGTAGGGGGCTCTTAGTTTATAGTTAATATTGCAAATGTGAGTATAATTTATTAGCTTGCATATTAAACAGTTAATTGTTAAGTTGATAATTACGATTTACAATTAGAGCGTGTTAAGTGTTTACAAATATTATAAATAAAATAATTAGCTATTCTAAGAGACCATACAATAAACGCAGTTCAGTATTTATTGTTTATTCGTTTTATTATAATATATGGCAACAAAAATTGTCGCATTAAAACATTTATAAACTACCCGGAGCGCTGTGAACAAAAACACATACCAATGAAAATAACCACTGAATCACTTATTGTTAAAATAACATTTTGTTGGGTATCAGAGACACGAGTAATGCTTTTTGAGCACTATATAATGAATGTATGAATGTTAATGTAGTAAATAGTACACAGTTGGTGAATAATGACTATTGAAAGTATTTTTATGGCCCATATGAGACAAGTATATTCGTTTTTACACATCACGATTTCTTACAACTAAGATGAGATTGTTTGTATAAAACTAATGTATTAAAATAAATGTATATAAATACAAAACTTAGGATTTTGGTATTATTCAAAGCTCATTATTCGAAACTCAATAGCATAAACATGAAGAATTTAGAATATAAAACATATAATATTCTAATCTATTAAATATAAGTAGATAAGTAACCATTACAAATACATATATATATATATATACATAATACCACCTCATTTGTTTTAAAATTGTATTCTATACCGTGACTTCTATACGAGTACAATGATGAGATAATGTGTAAATTATTTCAGATGTAACAAGATCGAGAACATAACACGGAACAAAAAAAATTACAAAATTATAATTTAAAATGAAGAGAACCAAACATTGCCAGATGTTTTCGAGTCACCAATCATCATATTCTATTGGCATAGCAATATATTTAATTTGTGTGCAATGGATATCCATTGATTCTGCTTATGGTACGTATTCAAAATTTCATTGAATTTTAGCACATTTAATCTGTATAGGTTTATTATGTAAATTTCATCGTGTACATGAACAATGACATATTCGCAGCAACGCGCCATATTTAATCATATAAGAGGTCGAATATAATAATAATGATCGTTATTCATCCCACACATGAGTATACAGAATTTTTAATTGCTATTTCAATTCTCCATACATACGTAAATATTACAAATATTTCGTTAACAAAGTTTTTGATTTCGCGCGTGATAATCTAATGATTATATTACCTAATGGACATTTTAAAATATAGTAGTATAAATAAAATAAAAGTACAAATAAAATGTCTACAACTGATACCTGATAGTATAATTTTGGAAAAATTTACTAAGGTAACAAATAAAATTAAAGTTATAGAAGTATCTACGATTTCGCTTAATATACTCTAAAATTAAAACTAATTACAATAAAAAATATTGAAAATTATGAAAATTAATTTTTATGAAAGCAATAATGTGAGATATTGGTTTGTGAATAATTATCATATTCATGATCTCATAATAATAAAAATGATTATTAATTATAAAAATAAATTGAAAGAAGACGATTCTTCTAAATAATTAAAATACAATTTTCTTGAAATATTTAAATGTGTAAAATATAATGTTAATTTATTTATAAATATTAATAGCATTTAAAATGTTGATTGATTTTATTTTAATAATATTTCATTCAATTAAATAGAACTTTGGTATAAAATAATAAAAAAAAAGTTGAATTTTAAAAATTGAAATATTCATTAATTTATTTATTTAATTAACTAAAATTATAAAAATTTCAATAATAATGTTGAAAATACGTAGTTCCATTAAAAACGTAGAGGCATTGAGTTTAGATTCATATAATGTAAATATTTAGAATTATAAACAAATAACATATTTAAATTTAATAAATTCGTTTCATTATACAGCAATTGCTGAAATATAACAGAATTATAATTCAATATCAATTAGAGTTAACTTCACAAAACTTGCAAACATTAATCAAAGTTTTCAAAATCCCCAATGTATTTACTATTTACGTCTAGGGACCGGTATAGTGCAGCAGTCGTGCAGCTCGTGATATTTCATTCCAGTCATAAAGTAAAAAATGCATATAGTGACCAATTCCCACATTTTCTGATCCATTTTCTGTCGCCCTATTGCATTAAATCGTTTCTCCTCTAAGATCTATTTTATTAGGAATGAGTAACGTCCGCACACGTGTCTCTTCAATGAGATGAAGTTAAATCAGTTCCTCCTCCATCATCTCCTAATATGAGAAAACCATTGATAGTAACTTCAGGGTCATCTCAATAATACATTCAATGAAAAAAAAAATATTTACATTTTATTGATATATACAAATATATATATATATTTTCCCGCTAATATGGATAATTCAGGTATTTTGCAAAATGCCTAGGCATTATGCAAAGTGCCAATATTTTTTTAGGCAAAGTACAAAACATTGTGTTATATATTATATTACATTATGATTCTTATAATTATCATATATTATTACTTGTATTGCAGACAAAATTTAATTTTTATCTATTACTATATTGTTACTATTAAATAATTATTTTACTTAAACTACTATTTACTTATTATAACATGTTGTAGAAAATTGATATTTTGAAGTTTACAAAATTTTATTTTTAAGGCAAATACATTTTTTATTTTGACACTTAGACTTACAAACTTAAAAAACTAGTATGAGTGGCCAAATTTAAAAAAAAAAATTTGTATTTTGTTATAAAAATTTGACTTCATATAAATCGTATCCATAACTATACACCATAACAAGACACGAAAATGACAATATTATAATAAAATTATTAGTACGTTCGATATTTTAGCTCAGATTTATTATTATAGTAGTAATTTAATCTTAATCTTTATTGCGTTAAATCATGCATGCACATTTATGATAAACGATAAGTAAAATCGTTGGTAATAGGCGATGCCCAATTTTGTTTATTTTCAACACATTGCCTACTCCAGGTTTGGTATTATACATAATACCTTGGCAAAGCTCTTATTATTTATATTGCCTAGTGATTTTAGGCATTTTGCAAAGTACCGGATTATCCATATTGCCGGTAACATATATATATCCAATTATAAATAATACATTATTATATACCGCATAACGTATTAATCAGATAAAAAATTAAATGGTGTTAATGTATAAGTATTGGTAAAAATATTATTTTCTACATGAGGTCCTCCTAGATACAAACATAGTTAATTTAATTTAATTATTTTTTTTAAAACGAGGGTCAATATCATAAATTGAATGTTGAAATCAAAATTAAAAATCAATTAAATTAAAATTTGACGTTTAAAATAAAATAATTAATAAATAGTAAAGTATTCTACGATAATTTTTACTCGTGATGAAACCTTAGCTAATGTCAAGTTATATTATTGACTTCAATTTAAAGGTAATAACTAATAATTAATATATAGAGTAATTCAATTATTTTTGAGAAATATATTAATTATCATCTACCACATACATTTTAAATATTCAACTAAAAATAATTAAATTATGTCATAGTTATTTAAACGTGCATATAATTAGAATAAATTATCAACTTAACTTTTTATTCAAATTTCATGTTTAAACTCAAAAGTCAAAATTATACATTTTATTAAAAATATTTTATTTAATATACTGATAAATATAATTATCAGGGCTCATAACTTATAGCTCTAAAAAAGGTTATTATAAGCGCTTAAATATGCTCTAAAAAGTATTCATATAAGCGTTTAAATATGCACTAAAAATACTAAAATATGGAAAAATAAAAACGTTTGTGTATAAAAATTATTATTTTATTATTATTATTTATTACATTATTTTATTATTTTAGCTTCTCTATTATTAAAAAAAAAAAAAAAAAAAATTGGATACTGAATTCACGAAACGAACTAGCATGCATACAGTACGAAAAATCGGAAACGATTGCAAAATGTTAATGAAAAATAATTTGTAAATAATCTGAGAATGATGATATCGGAATATCTAGAATCTAGATATTATTATTATTATTTATAATAATATATATTATTATAATATATATTATTATAATTATTATTCCGATATCATTATCTAGATTCTAGATAATGATATCGGAATACCCGAATACCTAGAAACTATAAAAATAAAATACTACAGTACAAGCTACAATTATCTACAATTATAATGGTTTCCTTATCGATGGGATTACGGAGTTTCGGGCGTACACTCTCGCTACATTGCGCGTTGCCTAAACCCGTATAGGTATAAATAGTTTATCTGATATTATTTTATACGTTATATAAGAAAAATTAATTAACACGAATTAATTACTATTATGAACAATTAATATGACTATAATTACTAGTTATTTTTAAGAAAAAAATGTTTAGGCTACTAACATTTTTTTAAAAAAATCAATGATAAAAATCATACAAAAATCCAAAAATAAGCAAAAAAAAAAAGCGAAAAAAAACAAAATAGCACTTATACTCCGAAATATGCAAAAATATGCAACATAAAATGTAATATGTAGCTTTTTGGTTATCTAAAACAAATTTATAGCTCACATAGGTACCCCTAGGACCTTTCAAAAAAAATATGCAAATGCTAGAAGTTATGAGCCCTGATAATTATTTTTCTTATACACTTATTATAATATGTTTAATTGAGATAAATAATGCTTAAATTTCTATCGTAACTCAAACTTAATTATGTTGATAAAATGATAATTTTTATATATTTTCTAACTACAGGAAGACAACAAAAGAAATTACCTTCTTATCTACAATTTTATAAATATAAACAGGGTGTATAATCGATTTCACAATTATTCAGTAGTTTTTAAAATTCTCTGAAAAACTATAAATTAATTTTAAAATAACTTTAAAAAGCTATAATCAATATTCAATATACAGCATTTTGAACACTCTTTAGGAATACAAAATTAATATTACCTAGCCCAATTCTTAATGTAATTACATATACGCTACAAAGCAATAAAACATTCTTCAAAGCATATTGTCATATAATATTAATCCCTGATAAATATAATACAATATAATAATTAAATATTTTTATGAAATAAATGTGAAATTTTCATTTTACAGCAAGTAAACTATGAGTTTTAGATATAATGACACAAACTGGATCACATAGAAAATTAGAAATTCATATTTTGCACATATTTATTACAGTATAATTTATTACAATTAATCAAAATTACGTATATTATTATAAACATTTAATTTAAAATGAATTAAAATCTTTTAAATGTATACTGTCAGACTATTAAGAATGTTAATAAGATTAAAAACTCTGAGGAGCGTTATGGAAACTTTCTTAAACATATCTTTAAGGAAATTCTTTTAAAATATTCACAAATGCTTTAAAAAATGTAGTTAAATATTCTGAAAATGAACAGAAGTTATAAAAGTTCTCGTTATTTAAAGTGTGCGAAAAACAAAAAAAATTGTAAACGATAATTACTTTTCAAAAATATACTTAGATTTAACAAAACTAAACACTGATATCTTCAGCGTTGAAACGGGAAAATGTTTTGTTGGCTGTTTTCTTAAATCATATTTTTATAATAAAAATACTATAAAAACTAAAATAAAAATAAATTTAAACGTATATCAATGTAAACAACCGGAACTCGTCTATAAGAATCCACAAAAATTGTAATTTACATATTTCAATTTAAACCCAAAGAATCATAACTGTCCTGCGAACGAAATATTACCTGTTCATTTGAAATACTTTTCATATATTTGTTAACTCCTTTGAATAAAATAACATGTGTACATTTATTTATCCACATAAGCACCTAACAATGGTAATATATTATGTAGTGTTATTGACCGTTGAGCAGTGAAATATAAGTGTAAAAGTTTCTATAAAACCATCAGCAATATAATAATACACTAATACATATTTCCAAAAGTTGTGCGTGCAAACAATGCATTCATATAATCGAATATGATATCGTCCATTGTTATTTCATCAAATGCGTACGTGTAATAACCAGGCACTTAATATATATATGTATAGCATACTCTGTCGATGGATTGCATTTTCGCAAATTTAACAAAACCAAAATATACCTATTTCCATATTAACAATGTAATATATTCATTTTATAGCGTACTTGTACAGTATTGTGAATATAGTATAGGTACTTATTACAAAACTGTTAGAACAAAATGGAGGTCTATTCTCAAATCGAAGAAACTGGTCCATTTGACTTTATTCCATTTCTAGTTTTCTACCAAAAAACCATATATTTGATTGCGGGATTTGTTATACTGTAGTAGCCGCCTATTAGGAACACGAATAATTGATACAATAGCGTTATTTAAACAAAATGTCTAGGGACGAATCGGTCGTATATTAAAACATTATAAATCAATCAGATTATTGAAACAATTAGAGCCAAGGTTGACGACGACTAATTGGCGATAACCAATGTACTGCAAATACATACAATATACATTATAATATAATTATGTCATTTCAATCGAACCCTATCGAACTCTCGGAAGAAAGGTATGAAAATACTGGATAAATAAAAAATAAAAAAAGTAAATAAAAAATATAAAATAAAAAAAAACTGGATCGATGTGGACTCACACCTCGATTTTGCAGAGGTTCCTACCAATGTTGTTAAAAATACTTTTCCAAAGTAATTCAAATAGATATTTAAATTCTTCAATTAAAAAGTATTCAAGTATAAATTTAAACACCTTTGCTAATAAGTATTTAAATACAAATATATTCAAAAAAATATTTGAAATACTTTTAAATACATTTTTTTAAGCTTTGTTATTGTCTGATTCTTAATTCTTAAAACATTATAACCAGCATTACATTAATTTCTAGTGAATATTGACTAGTGACAAACTTAATAAATTAATTTTAACGATTATTAATGAATAACGAGTGTCAGAGTATGTGAATATGTGAGATACTGGGATTCGGAGTGTCGCCGTGCTACGGATACTATAAAAATATAGCCAAATAGATTTACGATAAATGGGAAAAATTATTTTGCCCTTAATATTTTTAAATATTTTTTGTCGATAACAATATTTATAATTGTCACTTGTCTCGTCAACGATAAGTAATTTCTTAAAAATCGAAAAGCCTAACTAAACTAAGTATTTCAAATGTATTTAAAATACAGGAAAAGTATTTAAATACTAAAATTTAAATATTTAACAAGTATGGTTCCAACAGAAGAAGATATCTGTAATGCGGTTATGAATTCTCAAATAATTGAACGGGCATTGACGATGAAGAAGAAAACAGCGAAGCACCCCCGCCAAGAAAAAAAATTGTAGAAGCTCTAAGTCTTCTCAGGATAGCAGTCCAGCACCGTGCGGGTGAAAAAGACTTTGGGCAACATTATTCTTACGAAACCATGATCATCAAGTTAATCGACGTAAAACAACATACAACGAAAAACACATATTTTACATAACATAATCATAGCATAATATTATACATTATTTTTTTCAAGTACATACTTTTTTTAAATTATACATTTTTTTTCATAATAAATAATACCAATGGCATATTAGAAACAATCGGTTAATTGATACATTTCGCCTTGGTCCAAAAGTGTTCCTAAAAAGCGGCTCCTACTGCGTTTTTGATTTTCCGATGTTGGTTGAAGATCGTAGATATTATTTCTAGATACATTTTTTGATTGTCGAGTGGTTTTTTTTCTAAAAAAGAATCGCTAAAACGAAAAACGTCAATCTAAAATTCGACGGGCGTTATGAATAACACCGATTTGGCTTTGACATCAGATCAATTAAAACGTAAACGCGACACACGTAACAATATTTTATCGCAACGTCCGTATTACATTGCGAGACGTCGATTTTTTTTATTTTATTTCGTTTTTTTTCGTTCACAGTTAACGCGGCCGCCGCCGGTTCGGTGGTCGGGGACAAAGTGACATTGCCGTCGAGGAACGATGCGACCAACCCGCTGAAGGAGCCGACGCCCAGCACGTTGCAGGGAGCATTCCTGGGCAGCAACCTGACGGACGTCAACAACGGTAGTTCCAGCACGCCACCGGCGGACGCGCAGCGACGGCACGGCGAGCACGAGGTGTTCGTGGCGTCGGCGACCACGGCCGCCGCAGCCGCCGAGACGATCTGGAACGCGCGGACCGCGGCGGTGGCCACGCTGCCGCTGGACCGGCGAAACGATTCGGTGACGGCCATCAAGTCGGATCCGGCCACCACCAACCGGCCGCTGGAGTCGTGGGAGAACGTTGTGCACACGAGTACCGAGCAACCGTCGTCGTCGCGATCGCCGCTAACGTCCACGACCGATCGCTATCCGGCCGCTGAAACGACGACAGTAACGCGCAACGGGAACCGCGGAGCCGGCTTGAACCACGACAACGTCATGGCCAACATGCTGAAAAGCTGGTTCGACCACAAAGACGACACGACTTCCTCGGCCAAGCGCTACTACAAGCTGGCCGCCGAGTACCTGCAAAAGAACGGCGACGGTGGACAGCTGTCAAAGACAGTGTCATCGTCGTCCAAAGCGGCGAGTATGGCCGTCGTGGGCGGAAACAAGAACCTGTTCGAACGGTGGGACGAGGCGAGCGAAGAACAAGAACGCGTGCTGGAGGACGCCATGCGATCCGAGAGCGCCGGTGCGGACGGTGGTGGTAGGTCGTCGTCCGTTCTGGCCGCGGACCAAAACACCCCCAGCCGGTGGTTCGTGCTGCTGTTGTCCGGCAACTCGACCGTAGCTCAGATGCGGCGCACCGACTTCGCCAAGTACCTCAAGCTGAACCTCGCGGCCAGGTTGTCGTTGGAGTACGACGAGGTCAAGATCAACCGCGTGCTGGTCGTGCCGCCGCGCCTCATGGTCAACGTGAGCGTGGTGCCCGTCCCCGAACGCACCTCGGTCGCGGCCGCCGCAGCATCAGCAGCAGCAGCAGCAGCAGCCGCAGCCGCCGCTGCGTCACCGTCGTCCTCGTCCTCTTCGCCCAGGTCGTCATCGGCGTCCGTCGCGGCCGTCCCCGATCTGATGGCCGAAGACGACGACCCGCTGCACAACCTGGTCGAGACCAACGCCACGCTGATGGAACTGTCCGGGGAGGAATATCGGGTCAGTGAAGTAATTAAGTGGAATTCGTATTAACGTTAACACTGCGTCCACCCGACCGACTGACGACGGTAAACGATGTTCGTGCGATGTGCATGCATTTTCAGCGAACACCGATTTGAAAAAGAAAAAAAACCGACAGCTAAACAGTTATTTTACTGTTTATTAAATTATCCAACACACGTAACGTTTATAATGATTGAAGACGAATCAGATAAAACATCTGTCGTCAATCATAGCATTATGATAATGTCGCGGTATAGTTAGTATAATAGCACAAAGCTAATGGATTTCACACCGTAAGCGTAATATTATTTTTTGCCGATCGATACTCTTTGTCCGTGATTTGTTTTTTCTTCTCACTCCTCATAAATTTAACAGATACTGTAGACATTTTAAAAGATTTTATACCCATATCGTAATAAGCAAGTTGAACAATATTAAATCGTAAGTATCATGTTCGTGCCTAGTTTGTTTTGTGTATTAATGGTGTTTATTAGACGTCGTATTTTTAAATTCGAGTTTTCGATACACGCCGCGAATGCAAGTATAGCTCGGACAAACTCACCGGGTAAAATATATAAATACACATACAATAACATTTAGTATCATTGTTATCCGCGGTGGTCAGACGTTTTTTCGTCGCGATTAAAAATTTGTCCCGTACACGCGGTAAATAAATGAACGATGAATTTTTCGCATCATCGTTTTTAATAGGTATATAACACAGGGTGTCGTTGAAATTATAAAACGTATAAGGTGTAATACTTCCCTAAGATTTTAATTAACGTTTTAATCATTTTGGGTCGACTGCTCATGTTCTCTAACTATATCATAAGAAAAATCTTAATAGCCGGGATAAAAGAGCCGTATACTTACAACCAAGTACTATAAACGAAACTAATTAATATAACACACTGCGTACACCGCTTTATATCCTGTATCGTAAAAAAACTTTTTCAGAATTAGTTTTTTTTCTAGTTCTTTCGTCCGACGCTCGAATTAATTTTTGTGACCAACAAAGTAACTAAAGAGCCTGTTTTTTGTCGGTTGACTCAAGTGATAATACGCAGCTAATGGTTTGTGGTGTATCATAATATTTGGTATGGCATGTCTGATCAATACTTCTCGTTTACGGCAGCGGACTTTCGATAGTGTTATTTTTTTCAACGCGAACTTTGATAATATCAATTGCTGAACTTTTCCATTATTGAAGTATTTCATAGATTTTCCTTTTTTTTCAGCCATCATATCGATGTAGTGCTTCAGCTTAACATTTATATGTTATTAAATACCACATTAAAACCTAACTGAAAATGTTTTAATTAAAAGACCGTCGGTATTTATAGTGACGTGCATCATGCGTGCATTTCAAAATGACAGTAATAACAAAATTAAAACGAATTGGACATGCTGAAAATTAAAACTTGTGTGCAAACAAATATATATGATAAATTGTAATTGTATAATTATAGTATACAAAAAAAAAAAGTAGAGTGATATTAAAAGCAGTCAACAAGTTCATAAAAATAAAAAAGCTATGGTTGTGTAGATATATTGTATGTATTGTATATATATTACATATTATATTAGTAAATAAATAATAGAAGTATTGTGGTTAAATAATTAACAGCAATGTTTTTATAAGGTCGATAGCGTAAAATTAATTAATTTCCATTAAAAACAAAAGCTTGTCTGACTATAATTAAAATAATAATAATAATAATTTAATTAATATTATATATATTAATTTATACGGAAACTAGTTTTTGAGCATGCTTCGTGTTATATTATCTACAAATATTTCGGATTATCTCAGCAGTACTAAACATTCTAAACCGCTCACTGCCGCCGACGAAATGTACCCTTTACAATTTCACCGTCACGTTATTAATTGAAAAACTATCGTCAAACTCTAAATCAAATGCACACAATTCATATTCGTTTACATGCGTATTGTGCACACCATGCATAATGCACGACGATTTAACGAGATCAGAATTTGTCAAGCGTTTTTCGTCCGTACACGAGTATAGTAATTTGCCGAGTTTGAAATCAGCCAGTGCGACCTACTTTATAAAACGGTCTATTCCCCTCCTTAATGTGGAAACGCATTATTTCGCTGTGTCACTCGCTGCTTTCGGAATCATACTTCATGTCACTAGCACTGATGTTGCTGACAAAAACAAGAGAGCAAATTGATAGAGACCGCTAATGCACGCCGGGAGTGTTTGATGGAAATCAAATAAGAAAATGGCAAAAGTACTGCGAAATAGTTTTTTTTTTGTTTAAAAGAGGTATTAATAATAAATTATTAAGAAACCGGGTCTATCTTTTCCCAACGGAGCATTTTTCTTTTCGCGATAATTCGCTTAAATATGAAATATTCAACTCCTTCAGCCTATTTAATTCGATTAAATATTTTTTAAGATACTCAGTTAAGTTTATGTCAAATGTTTTCATCAAATTATACAGGATACAGATGACCTGTAAAAATGTAATCCAATCTTAAATCAAACCCAATGATAAAAATAATGTAACGTTGGTTTACAATTTGATCATACGCCTATCAATGAATAAATGAAAATTTTTAAATAATTTCTCTATATTTAGTAATGCCTGTTTACAGTATTTCGCAATACAATTTTTTTTTTTTTTTTTAATTTTTTTTTTTAAGTAATAATCTAATTTATAATTGAATACATGTTTCGTGCACTTTTTAATCACGAAGATCGTTTGTTAATATTAAAGAAAGTCAGTATTGTATAAAACAAAATAACCAAATGCATCTTAACTAATTTACATTGACAAATTAAATTAAATTAAATATTTATGTATTAAAAGTAGAGATAACTACTTTTAATGTTATCCGTCTTAAATAAAAAATTATTCGTTTATTAAATAATATATTTACAAACAAAAAAAAAGTTGCACGTGAATATAAAAAAATAAATTAATGTTGGATCGTATTGTAATATAGTAATGTGCTTATTAGGGTAGTGAAGTCCACCAATGATACAATGCGTTTTAAAAGATAAAAAAAAATACTCAATTTGAAAAATAGAGAAACAACTAAATTATTACTATACTGCGTGTTGCATAGTAGAAATATTATAAATAAAAACTAATGTTTTTTTTTAATAGTGTAAAAAACATTAAACGTGTTGGTGGGTACACTACAAGACCAATTATGTTGTTCGTCCACACTGGCAAATTTAATAATATGGTTTTAAAATTTTAATTCGCCATTAAAAATTGTATAAATAACGCATAAAACAGACTATTATGAATTTATACATATAATCAAAAAACATAAAAAAAATCACATTTTAAGTTATCTGTATGGAAAAAAGTTAAAAATGCACGGTAAAAAGAAAAAAATGTTATGTTTGATGGCAATGAAATTATTCCCAGATTACAATTTTGTGCTTATGTAAAAAAAATTCAATATATACCGTGAAATAAATTTTCAGTAAACGCATCAAACGAAAAACAGGAGAAAAAAAGCTGCGTTAGAATGTATTTGTGTGAAAAAATATTCTTCGTTGTATTCTAATTTGTTACACTTCTAGAACAATTCCAATCCAAGCTATACTTGCTTTAAGTATGAATACATAGATGTAATACGTATATAAACATTAGCTAATATCAAAATAAATCATATGGCGTAGATATACGAATATCATATACACACTTGTATGTGATTTTTAATTTTTTTTAACGTTCATAAACATTGAAGATTTATTTATTTAATCAATGAAATTGAATTTCAATTACAAGTATTTTTAAACTGAAATTGAAAAAAAAAAAAATCAAATACCGTTAAGTCATTTTCGATTTTCAATTTTCAATCAATTTCGATATTCGACGCCTTTGTTGACGTCAAGGTTTAAAACATTAGAACATATCAGTGAAATCGCAAGAATTACTCTTGCAGAAAGATGTTTGATTATTATTCTTGTTTAATACTAAATGAAAATAACGCTAAAAACAGCATTATTTCTCTATCATACACTTAACCTGAATTTCCATATCGAGCGTGTCATAATAGCCAGTAAATCGCTCAACATTTTAGGTCTTATCAAACGGATAACATAGGAGTTTAAATTAGCATATCGCCTTAATGCACTGTACTGCTCGCTTGTCAGACCTATTCTCGAATACGGTTGTGTCATTTGGGTTGCTAATAGTGCTCAAAACGCAATTATACTCGAACGTGTACAAAATACATTTTTAAAATATGCCAAATATATACTCATACTCTATGCATATTGAATGTCCTCCTCATAACTATACACAAGTACTCAAGCATCTCGAACTACATTCCCTGGAAGATCGAAGGCGTGTTGCTAACCTTAAATTCCTTTACAAATTATTAAACGGACAGATTGACTCGTCTCGCATAACCTACTCGCTCTAATTCCTTTAAATGTTCCTCCTCGCTTTACTCGTCAACACATCACTTTTAATATACCAACCTCCTCTAGTAATTATGGTTTAAATGAACCACTTCGACGCTGCATGTTTATTGCCAATTCTGACCCCTCATTTTCACTCTTTTAAAAATCTACCAAATATTTTTTCCGCCGCATATCACTCTAGCACTATTATTATTGTATTAAACATTAATTGCAAATTGGGTACATGCCCGTATTGTATGTTAAATAAATAAATAAATAAATTATTGTTCACTCTAATGATTTCAACGCCGCTTACCAAACGTTCATTGTTTTTAGATTTATAATATAGCTTTGTAAAAGTTCATTGAACAAATAACAACTCGTAACTAAAAAAAATATCGAAAATGACAAAATGGAACATTCAATTAAAATAAATTAGAAAAATGTTTCCCGTTCATCGTAACGTATTCAAAACAAGCGCATTGTTTCAGTATCGTACATTGCGATCGAAATAAATATTTTAAGCATGCTTTGACTAATTTCACCATATTTATGTACACGTACCTGACGTTCAATTTTTTATAATACGCAAGCTTTATAATATTTCGCTTACACATCGCATATGATTCGCGTTACACATAATATAGGTCGTATAAGATTTCTAATTCTTCTCGCGCCCAGCGACTCTAGCAAACACTGTCAACACCGAAAAATATTTATACGCCATGTCATTTGTTCTCGGTGCACCCATTCGCTGCGGGCAGGTGGAGAGGTTCATGTCACTGAAATCGCAAAAGCCGCAGTCGATGGAGGAATCGGCGGCCGTGGTGAGCAACCGGCACGCGGACATCGACTTCTTCATATACGCGACGGTGGGTCCGCTGTGCTTCGTGGTCGTGCTCGGGTTCCTGTTGTTGACGTTGTACAAGTACGTGCGCAAGCACCCGGTGCAGTGGCCGTGGAAGCGCAAGCTGAGGCAGCCGTCCTTCTGGCCGGGCGGCGACCACCAGCACCGTCACCACCGGATGACGGAAGAATGCTGCGGCGGCGGCGGTAAGTGCGGCACCCCGTTGTCCGCGGACGAGATGCACGGCGGCACGATAAACGTCATCTACTCGGGTGAGTTCGAGCAGAGCCAACAGCAGCAGCTGTCCGGCTCGTGGTTGGACGACGCCAGCTTCGTGCCCGACGACAGCTTGGACCGGATACGCACGCCGACGCTGTTGCGCACGGCCACACCGCCGGCGGCCAAGAACAAGACGTTCACGGACATGTTACAGCAGTGCAGCGACGGTGGTGCCGGCGGCATCGGTGATGACGATCATCACCGGCGACACCATCACGGGCCGCCGTCGCGCGGCGGCGTCCAGTGCTCCGCGGCGGCGGCGGCGGCGGCGGCGGCGGCGGGCGCCGTCCACGCGCAAAGCCCGCGACTCAGCCGGGACAACAAGCTGCGCATACTGGGATGCAAACAGTCGTGCCTGTTACTGCCGGCCGTCCAGCCGGCCGCGAACGACGACAAGGCGCCGCAGCCGCCCGGCCAGTCGGCGACGGCGCGCGGCGACGGCTGCGGTGGCCGACCCTGAGCGCGTGCCACTGTCGATGTGCGCATAACAGGGTGCCTTGGGCAGCTGGTCCGTAAACGTGAACACGTCGATTTGTTTTCGTCATGTTAACGTAATGCAAACGTTATGTGCCGTTCGTCGAACGCGAAACGTTTGCGGACCATTTCTGTGCACACGCACCCGCCGTGTACGATAGTGTCGTACGACGGTTGTGTTAGCTATTTACGCCGTGTCCCGCGCGAACACGATAAATCCGACGGTCGCAACACGATTTAAAACGTAACGAATCGACGGAAACGAATCGGAGCGCGCCCCTTTCCCACCCACCCCCACCCCCACCCCCCGGCCGTACGACCGGTTTTATCGGACGCGTTTTAGTCGTGTGCGTCGAACAAGATTTCGGTTGGTTTTCGACAGCACGTTCGCACGCGATTTTCACGTTTCGTCCGACGTACCCCCCCCCCCCCCCCGTTAACGACATCACCCATATTGTTTGAAATCGTTACGTTAAAATATTACCGCACGATTTTCGTATCACGCGAGTCGCTATATTATTTCAATAGTTCGTCTTGTTGTGTTTAATAATGGGGTTTGTAGCACGCCAAGTGTGTTGCGGAGCGAAACGCTTACCGATAGGATTTTCGGTCGGAAGCGTTTCGTCTCGTAGTGTTAAAGGTGCACGCATGGGCGTCCCCAGGGGGGGAGGGCAAGACGGGGCACTTACCCCCCCCTGGAATAATGTTATTCCCACAGAAATTGGTAAAATTCCAAATGATAAATTAGTTTCTAAAAATAGGTCTACTAAGTTTCCATAACATATTATGTCAACGCACGGCTGACGGCTATCTATGAAAACTATCATTAATAATAATCGGACTATTTTATCTTAATGTATTTTTTGAGTGATGTTCTAATTGTACATTATACATAAATGTCAGTAATGTTTTAATTGATAATTTTAATAATGACGAAATATAATCATTTACTATAAATAAAATGTATAAAAAAATTTTCATTTATTTTTTTAAATTAATTTTGCCCCCCCCCCCCCTAGAAAAATGTCTGGGGACGCCCATTGGTGCACGGTTAACGTTTAGCCAAGCGAATAGTTTATCATTGAATTTCAATTCGATTGCACGAAATAGGTACCGGTTAGAAAGAAAAAAAAACAGTGCACTACGTATGCACAGCGTAGGATGTAACTACGAAACCGCCACCGCACACGACCGTTCTCCGTAACAGCGATCATATCGCATCGTACGCGATTGTCGAATTTTTCGTATTCCCGTAGGACACGACTTTACTATTACTGCAGTGTTTAATTATCATACTAAATACAAAGAGAACGAAAAATATTTACAAAAAAAAAAAAAAAAACGAATGTTAAAAAATAAGTGAATTTAGCTGTTTCCCATACGGATATACGTACATAATATAATAATTACGTATACACGTAACACAACCCAAAAACACGGTCCTAAAATCATATGAATCCGGTTATCACGTGTTTGTCGTTGGAAAAACATTGAATAAACAGTACGCACGAGTAACAAACATCAGTTGAAAACGCGAGACGGATAGGGTATGCACGTATAGGGTTCAGTTGCGTAGTTACGGGGAGGGTGTAAGGGGTTTCCACCCCCCCCACAGATTTTTTTTTTTAATGATATTTGATTATTATTTATTAATATTTACATATTATAGTAAAATATTTTGATTTTACTATGATTAGGTACATATTAAAAAATGAGTAACAAAATAATTTTCATTAAATACGGAACAATATATATATATATA